CCACTTTCATTTCATTTTTTCACATTTAATTGCAGCAACTTGTATGAGCGGCAGGTTATTTCTGCGGTGAGTTGGGCTTGCGGCGGGTTGTCACAACGGCAAGAGATGACAGCGGCGAGTCAGTTGTGCGGCAAGTTTGGGTGCGGCAAGCACAGCTGCGGCAAGTACAGGTGCGGTGAGTTGTACCAGAGCCCCTTGTAAAGCCTGGGAACCAAACTTGGGCTTTGTACAGGCTCATCAGGAATAATCTCTTTTCTTTTGAAAGACTTACCCAATTGTCGAAAATGCCTTTCTGGCACCATTCTGTCATTTTTCCATCAAGAAATAGGCAAAATTGAGCTTTGCACTTATCAACTTTTCAAGTATGAGGAAAGCTGTACTGTATACCCTTAAAACCCCGCTTCTCTTTTGGGCTGAATCAGTTTTATTTTTTCGGGCAAATGAACCTATAGCAACATTTTATGCAGCAGTACTGAGAAAGCTTTTGAACAAACAAAATGTACACCTGTGAAAAATCAAGTTGATAAAAAAAAATCAATTTTAACTAACGTTTTTGTAACTTCTTCCGCTCAGCATTTTTTATGTCTTGTGCTTGCTTGAAGGATGTTATCTCCTCTACGGGAAATAACTACTTTTGGAGAAATCTTGAATTTCTGGTGTCCTTCAAAAATTCTGCAAGCTAACAAAGCGGCGTTGTGAATAATTCATGGGAATCATGACTCATTAAAGATACATTTGCTCCTGAATTTTCCTCAGGCTTTCAGTTGGACTAAGTACAAGGCATTTTTTATTCATTTAGCAGTGAAACACATAGCGTTTTGAAATCCAATTCTGATGGACAGAGACACGTCGTTAAAAGACTAATTTAAAAGTTGAAAGGCATCCGAATTCCGCCATCACTCTTTAAAAAATTGAAAATTGTTTTCTTTGACCTCAGAAATAATTGAATGACACCACTGAGGCCTCTTAAGAATTTCAGGGCATTAAAGACGACACTGGGAGGTAATTCCATAAGGTCGACCAACTATTTTTGAAAGGCAAAGCACTTGAAAGAATCTTTCGATTCATCCGAACAGATTGTTTTTTCTTTTAAATTTTAGCTCGGATCTCTTTTCCCCACGAGTGTCTTGAGCACTTTGGGTTTTCATGAATGTGCAAATGAAGTCCTCCCGGCTGAAATGCAGGTATGGTGAATTTTCTGTGTAGGAAAAAACCTTTTGTAAATCTGCAGAGTTATTCCTGGAGCACTGCTAATGCTTTAATGGGGATTCCCACTCATCGAATGGGTCACTGGATAAACTCTGAGCTTTTGAAAGCAAATAAGGTCTTATCTAATCTGGAGGATGGAAGTTAAAATAAACATTAAAAAGTGAACACTGAAAGGTTAAAAGAATACTTTTCAACGCGTTTTCCCCAATCCGCCATCAAATTTGTGCGAATAATGTAAAGTCTTAATTTGTTCCAAGCCTTTAGAAAAAAATTAAAAACTATCGAAAGAATATAGTTCATTATACAATTTCATCCAAATATTCGAGGGCGAGTTGCAATTGAGCTTGCTTTCCACCTGTTGGAATTGACTTGAATGTACATTGATTTCCTGGAATAAAATAAAATTTGAGAGTTTGTTTTGCTACCGGGCATTTCAATTGTTTTATTTCCTTCTCATCCAATGACACTATAGACATTCGTATTTCAATATTTGCAATTCGAAATTTTTCTCGAGTTTTTCGCAAAAATGGAATAGTGTTCTTTCAAGGAAAAGTATACTCTTTCGGTTCCCGCAGCAGGAAGTACGGAAGGCCCGCGAACAATTGAGCATTGGCGAAAGGAAATTCATTCCTTTTTTGGCAAAGCAAACCTGCTTCCAAATTTATGCAATGTGGGGTAAGTTTTTTTTTGCCAAGAGGAATTGGAAGAAGCGATCTGAAGAAGAGGGAGAAGAGCAGATAAAAAAAATCTGCACTCTAGGCTAAACTCTGAGATCCTCGGATCAAAGCAACTCATTGATCGTCCATTTCCTGAATCAGCTTTGCATACATGATCCAAAAGTTCTGCGACTGCTGAAAAGTGCAGAGATTCTTCCTCCTCAGATTCAACTTTTCTTTCTTCTGAATGGACAAGGAAGATGATAAAAACAAACTGAAGACATGCAAATTCGTTTCTCGAAATTCACCCACCGTCTCTATAGTCGGCGAATTCTAAAATTGTAGTATTTTGATCAAACTTCAACGTGGTGGTAGGTGTCGAGAGAGAAATCTTTGCAGATTACAGCAGGTGTTTCCCGTATTATTCAAATAATTTCACCACCGAACTCAGAAATCGTGAAGGTGCAACGTTTCTTTCTTTCATTACAAGAATACTGTATTACCAAATTAACGCCATTTCATAGAAACTGGCTTTGATTTTGAAACATGAAAAGAGACTTGCCGTAATACAAGCAAACAACCTGGTCTTTGAGATTCTAATTTTAAATTTAATTTGAAATGTTCGGATCCAAAGCGGGTCGTTGAAAAAAATACACAGTAGCTGATGTGATTTTCAAAATATATGATGAACTACTGAAAAGAGACTAACATTTGAGCGATAATATTACCCCTACATATATTTCGAGTTGTTATATTTAAAAAAAATCTGGACGCAAAGCTTATAAAAATATAGTCCAATTAAGGTAGATTTTTTGTAGCAATCATTATTATCATCAATCCGCATTTTGACGAAAAACAAAAATACCTGATATATTTCTCGGAGCTTTCTCAGATTGACGTGAACACGGTTGTCATCCCAATTCCGCGCAGCTTTTTTGATCGTTCGGTGTTATTTTTTTTGTGTTGTCATGATTCTTTCCAAGTTCATTGCTAGGCAAATCTGCAATACGAGTCCATGTTAAAACATTTTCTTTCCCCTTTACGTAAAAAGCATTCGTTCGGTAATTTTGTATTCAGCAAAAGCTGTTCTTGAACAACTTTCAAGCTTACTAATAATGACTCGGAATATTCCATTCAAGGCCGTCGAAGACCGTTTGTTTTCAATGTCAAGGTCGAAGTCCCTCGTGGAACAAACCATTTTCAGCGTTTTCGAAGTTTGCAAAGTACTGTACAATATGTACAGCATTTTCTCTAGCCGGGATTGCTTCGCAGGGTTTCTCTTTTGTATATACGCAGCCCTTTGTGGTTCCAAAATCGTCGTTTTAGTTCAGGCAGTGACTGCTGTTGTCGACTTATAACTTCGTGGCGACGACGGGCAAATTTATTCAGCTGGCCGGGTTTCCGCTCCGTCAATGCCATCCTGACGTGATTTATGACTTATTGATCGTGAGTCGTCGTCGTCGTCGTCGTCGTCGGCGTCGAGAAAAGAGAACGGAACATCTCTGTACACCGGAAGAAAGCGGAAGATGTAGGAGGAAATAAACGGAAGAGGAATGCATGAATTATTCTCCTGCGGACGGAGAAGCGAGAGGAGTGTTATTGAGCAGCCCGGGGTGAAGCTGCTGATTTCCACCCCAAAATTTTTCATCTCACTTTTCTTTACCCCTTTTTTTTTCCTTTTTGCCTGATGGCTGCTGGTATAGGTATTCCCTCTGCTGCAGAGGCCCGATTTGCATACCGGTGATTATACCGAGTTCTCATCTCAGATAACCCCCGTGGTCTGTGAGGTACGACGAATATTTACGCATACCTTTTCAGGGTGAAAATATGTGGAGCTTATTGATGGTATTTCATAAGAAATGATATGACCTAGGTGAGGTAAAATGGAACAAAAATCTCGAGTGAATTCATCCATCTGTCCTCGACAGAAATTAAAGCAGCGAGACTCTGCAAAATTTTCAGAATAAGTTCGAAAAATTCGAAATTCTGAGTTTTTCATATAATGTTTGCAACGACTGTGAGTAATCCGGATTTACATGTGAAAAGGTAGGAAAAAGGCTAAAAAGTACTAGTGCACAAATTCACCGGTTGAATCCATAAAATTTGAGTTTGAGAACATTCTTATCCAAAATCATGGACGAAATAATTTATTCTTGTATCATCAGCTTCATCATTCACCAGTTATCAAGTAGAAAATATTTTTCCGAGTAGATTTACTCGCACAGTATTTTTCAATTCATCTGCTTTAAATCCATATCAGACTATAACAGACAAATCAAAATATTCGTGTAATGCCAACTCTTTTTTTAGAGCCAAAAAAAATCAAAATGGAAACTCGCATAAAAAATCTTCTACCGCATCCATACTTTTATTTAATATTAATAATGTCTGTAGGAAAATCAGAATCATGTTTGACGACATTGACATAAAGATGATTCAATCTTGCTTGTCAAGAACTGAGCTGAAGGCTTAGATGAAAAATGATCTCCCAAACAATCCGTTGCTCGGAAGAAAAAAAAAGAAGAAGAAAAGCGGCATGAAAAACGCATCAGAATCTCAGTTGACACCGAATCAATTTATGGATTATAGGAGTAAAGGGACTTCATCATTGATTTCCTGACGTGTGGTTTTATTGATCTAGATTAGCTCCATTATCAGGTTCCTCGGGTTTCTTTTTTCCTTACACACTTCTTCATCTGGTGCATGAGAGATGTTCTTGCAATCGGTCATGAAGTCGTGCAGCTTATCAGCAGTGTCGGATTTTTTTTTCTGTCTTCGACGTGATGGATTTTCCTTCAAATAAATTCATAAATATCATCTTCGGCCTCTCTTCAGATCGTTCTGCAAATTCACGATTTGAAAAGTAGCCTATGTTATACAATTTCTACTTCAGCAAAGATTAATATTGTACATGTGTCAGGTCTACTTTTATTAATACATAATTATATATTAAAGGAACTTATACACCATAAAAAAAATGCTGTTTGAACCTTTTGTTGAAAAATTACGTGTGCTCTGTAATATTGTAAAATACATAGCTATCAACAATGTGCCATGCGCGACGTGATTGATTTCATAAGAGTGCTTATGCTTTACTAAAATATTTCTTCCCTGTCGTCGAAACATCGATCAGAAATATTTTTAATTAATTTATGCGAGAAAATTTACTTGAATAAAACCAATCGCAAGGTCACGCATTCGTCATTTTGTATAAAATGTTCATCACAAATGTACAGTACATTAAATTTTATTATTTCGTATTGATCGTTCGCCTTAATCCTCTTTGTACCCTTAACCATAACAATAGGAATTGTAAAGCCAAGCGTATTGTTCCCTATAGATCGTTGACGACCCGAAACTGCTAATTAGGCTTTAACGAGGTCCTGACAGGTTTGGCTGGCAAGTTGTGCACAGGTGTCATGCAGAGAACAAAGTTGACTTTTCACACAAAATGACGAAAGCAAACAAACCCCTGACTCATGAAGGGGTACTTCAAAGCTCACGGAGCTGAATGTTTTTCGATATTTTTTGCTCGCAGCACAACTTGCAGCGGGTTTTCTTCATGCTTGTAGTCATTTTATTTTCGTTTCTTCAAGAGCTTCGTAATTTTCGAGAACCAGAACAAAAAAATCCTATTCGTCAATATACATTGTGGAGCATTCAAGAATTAAATCAATTTGAAAAATATGTTTCTAAAATGTAATTGAGCCTAACACGTTGAAAAAACTTGGAAAAAACCTTGAATTTTTTTAAAGGAACATTAAAAGAATTATCAATAAGATTTGCATGGCTGGCTGTTGGTAAGTCTTCTGAAATCACTTGCAGCAAGTGACTTTAACTTCGAATAAACTCGTTTAACCGACAAGAAAGTATACCGTATAACTGAATTCAAATCGCCGCTCTTATGATACCATTGAACATCCAAAACAATTGACGACTTCAAAGGTAAATTACTGTAATTTACTTTCCGGTTACCTTTTCTTCAACATCGCAGCTCGAATAGTTTAGGTTCAAGAATTTATTGTAGCTTAATTTGATGATTTCCCCGAATAACATATTCTCTCAACAAACCCATGAAATTATTTTGTTTTAACGCCAGATTTCGTTCAAGTAATCTGCTATAATAAGACGTTTAGATAAAAAACTGAACACTTTTTTTTGCACAAAATGCAGATAATTTTTCAAATTTTATTTTCGTTCGAAAATCGCTTTCGTTGAATTTTCCAAGCATCTTTAAGGTCAGGGTGAATTTTCCTGAATCGCGGACTTGACCTCGGAAAGATAGAAGGCTCTGCTTTGTTATCCGATCATTTAAAAAATAGCAGAAAAAGGAGAGAAATAAGGACCAGAAGGACTGCGAACACTCGATGCTAGTTTCTCACGCGGAAATATCGACTCCCTTGATGGGGATCGATTCGGTATTGCTGCACTGAAACGATATAAGGAAAAAAAGACTGAGAAAAGAAGGTAAGAAAATTCAGTCGACTCGTGGACAGCATTGATTTTCCACTTCCCAGAAATAAAATCAGTGGATGGTGGATAAGATATACTCCTCCTCTCGCCCAACGGCTGATTTCTCTCACACGAAAAATGGAGCTCTCACGTAATGAGCTTTTCAATTTACGGTAATCCTTTTTTCGTCGTCTGCTGGTTAAAATTACGTTCTTCATCATGAAATACTCTGCAGTCCTTCTAAATTACAATTAGTTTTGCGGGTAACCCGCGAAGTTCTTGCCAATGCGACGATTTTCGTCTCCCCTAAATTGCTGATGGGTTCTTGACTAATGCAGGCTCAACCCTTCTTCACGCTTCTGTGAACTCGGAATTGACGCGTGGTTGGCAAGCTTCAGAAACACACAAATATTGCCTTTCTATCTGGCAAAGCTGATTTATATTCTGTAATAAATCCTAATTTCTTCCTTTGTTCTTAATTTTTCATGTATAGTACAGTAATGTATAATGCTTCAGCTTACTACTGAACGCGACGCCGGAAATATCTTGAAAGTAATTATAAATTGCGATATTGTAGGATCATTTTGATTGAAGTACGGTATGTAAATTTCATGATTTAGGACGAAGTTGGAAGGTCTCATCGAAATCGATTTCCAAGAAAGGAAACGTCTGCACATCTATCATCCATTAATACTTCATGCATAATGGATTAGGTCCCGTTTTCTTGCTTGTACAGCCAATTGAGACTGAAAAGTCATTAAAAAACGTACCGAAATTTTAAATAAAGATAATTGTATTACCAAGCCAACCACGCAATAGAAAAATAAAACTGGCAATTTATTAAGATAAATACCCGAAAGTTTGGGACACAACGGACTGATTTACATGAACCCAGACAGATGGCGGGTGTCTTATTTAGTGGAGTTAGGCTGCTGGACGCGTCACTTTTACTTGTCATTTACAACTCACTAAAAAGTTATTTTTCGTTAGAAGAGACATCTTTTCGGATGGTGAACCTAAATCTTGGATAATATGCACACAGAAGGAAACAAAAATGAGTACTTTCTGTGTCGAGCTGGTTTAAAAAGAATCCGCATCGCAAGAACCATCAATTTTGATGTAGGGTTAAAAATGTATTTTCGCATTCTGAGGATTCCACCCATCACCTTGTCAACTACTTAATGGTCATACTGTATACAGTATACGAATGGAGGGAACCATAAACAGGAATAATTTGGATATCTTAGTACACAATTAAAATACTGTACGATGAGGACTGTCAGTGTCATATACGGACACTGACATAATTTGTCATTGCAACTTACAAATCGGGGTAATTATTCATGAGTGAGACACATGTATCATCGCATATAATGACACATGTAATTTAGACAATTGAAATAGAGTTTTTGAATAATTGATGAGACGTCTTATTAAATGATGATACAGTATATGACTAAATTTGCCCCCCCCCCCCCCCCACCGTCATGAGTGAGAATCAAGATAAACTTACCCTTTTGAAAATGTGATTAACTCTTGTTCATCAATTTGTGGTCTACAGGTAACCGAATTCATTCATTCCACCTCTTTCCCGCATTTTCGATCCCCTGGCTTCATAAGCTAATGAGCTTGGGTAGGTTGAGCTAACAATAATGAATATCAAGCACGAACCATTGAATTCAGCCCCTGCTGCAGAAGTAAACCTACCCATGAGGAATTGTGTTCTTTTGCAAGCTCAGTCTATTTCCCTGGCGTCCTTTTCATCCTCACATCCGGCCAGTCGCGGGCTTCCTAATCAGCACACCGGAAGAAAGGCACCATCTCGCACGCGTACTTCCGCACTGCCGGCTTCCTGCTTCCGGATTCGAAATAAATATAAGCATCAAACCCTCAAGTCGTTTCCCTGCTTTTTTTCTTTCTTTCTCCCATCTCTTTGTCGAGTAATTCGCATATGCTGTGGCGATTCCTGGCGCTTGTCCAATTCAATTCAAGAGCACGGAAGGGGAACATCGTAATCAGATGTGGAAGGCTTTTGTGAATAAGCTTGTCTTCCCCCCGGGGTCGAAGAGGTTATCATTCATGACACACTAGGTGCCCTGTGGAGAATATGCCATTCTTTTGCACGATGATCACGGGAATATTTTGCAGCACGCTTTCCAGGAAATGGCTATCATAAGTTTCTTCATTTTTTCTCACTATCAGTTCGACCACACGCGAGAGAAGATGATGAATATTTATTTCTACCCGCGATTCACTCACTCCTATACTTTCAAATGATTCGACATAATTTAATGACACATCGAAGATTTTTTTTCCTTTTCGGACTTTTCTTTTTGTGACGTTTGTCCAACGCGAAAGCAACATTAATCAGTGCTTCATTCGGTATTCATCGATTCTCTTGCAGATGTGATTTAAATTCGTCGAATAAAATATCCAGCCCTCTCGTTGATATTTAATTTTTTCACCTTGAAGGTGGCATTGATTAAAATATGAAGGGATAAGCTCGACTTATGCTAACATGAACTCACTAGTTTTTGTTTTTTCGTGTTATGTTTAAAAGTCAAGTTTATTTTGATGAATGGACTGTCCAAACGAAGTCAGTCTCGAATTTCTTATTTGTCTTGAGAATCAGAATTTCAAAAATTCATCCGGACTTGCGTGTTTGTATGAGTACGAGTGCATAAGGTGGAATTCACTTGTCGTTTGAAGGGATCCCGGAGCAGACTGAGTTTTAGGGGCTTTCTGCTGTCCAATTGCTTGTTTGCTAATGACATATTTTCGTTTGAAGATTTTAGCAGACCACATCAAGGCAATAATACTTGCTGTAGTAATTAATCCTTTTCTATTTTCTCCACCGCCTATTCTCAATCTATGAATGCAAGTTTAAATTTCTAAAATTCAGAAGATTTTGCGTGCAATCAAATTAATGATAGCCGTGATTGAAAGTAGGTGACAAGATTGAGGGTTTTTGTCCCGCTCCCGAAAAATCCATTTCCTCACATTATTCATGCAGTGATCGATTCGGTTGCTGAGCCCCGGAATTAATTTCCGTTTTTTGTGTGCAAAGATTGAAGGCCTCTGAGCACCATCACGAAAAAGAATCGATCTTATGGAAGCATATTGGAGACCCCTTCAAGAAGGAAATGATTTATGAGTGTGCATCACTCGTTGCGGGTATGAAGTACGGTGTGAAAGGTACCTCGACTTTGATTAATTCCTTCCAAGGCCCAGCAATACCCCTTATTATTCGACGCACAATCATGGACGACAGTATGACGCAGGCTTCAAAGGGAAATTTCATCATGTTTTGGTTTCGTGGATGCTGATCAGTTTCCTCTTCCTGTTTACGAGATAGAACGAAATTGCCTACGTGTTTTCAATGAAAAAAATAACGATAATCAGGGAAGCCTCTTCCTGAGGTTTCTAAACATTAGCCATGTTGAATGCTTCCTTTGAGAAAGATGGGATTCATCATTTCACAGAATTGAAGGACGAATTCATCACTCGCGTTTTAAAATTTGGCGGATGAAGGTCTACGAGCTTTCAATTTCAAATGATCAGTTGCTACAAATTTTTTAAAAAATATTTTCAACCTACAAACATTTGTACGCATCCCGAATCCCGATGATGTTACAGAGAGAAATCGGTTCAACGCTACTACCTGAACTTCGAAATAGCATATTTTAAATTATCCGAAAATTGTGGCAGATAAATTTGTCAGCATCAGAAATACGATAATTCATCCAACCACTCTGGAGACAATTTGCTTCTGGATCGGTCCGTTTTATTGTGGTTAGCTCTGGCAAATCACAACCCTTTTATTTTCCCAAGAAATCTACTCGCATTCTTGGTTGTTCACCACTCAAATCTGTTTACGACATATTGCTTTTTCTTTCAAATTTAAAATCATGATAGGAAAACATTATATTTGCTACTCTCTGCTGGTACGAGGACATTTTAGAAATTTCATGAATTACAGACGAAGTCAGATTATCCACAGCATAAACTGGGTTACCAGGGTTTCAGAAAAAATACAATTTGAAAGACCTGGAAGCTTCCTAATTTACTTTGCGAAATAATACAGTAATTAAAGTTTTGTCCAAAACTGGGGGACCATCATGGGGGACCATCACGTGTCTAACGATTGCAATCCTGAATATAGTTTTTGAGAATTTCAGCCAAAGGTTGAAATTGAGAAAAACTTCGTATGATCCAAGTTGTGCTACATCTTGAAAATACTTTGAGCTTACTAATACCGAATTATGCCTGAAAGTCGGATTATTTTAACGAAACCAGGAGAAAGAAAAAAAAAACCTCGGGTTTCGGGAGAGATTAATTTTATATACCCGATAAGAAGGACGCCACGAAGCACCCTGTACATAGTATGGAACTATAGACTAATACAGAATAAAAAAAATAAAATTCTCTAGCAACAGGAGCAGCAGCCACCACAACAGCTACTTCCGTGGGGATTGATTCCGATCCCCCGCAGGGCGAGGTTCGGTTTATTCCTGGAACATATCTCGGCCACAATCGTCGCCCCCCAAGTTTCATATTGCTCCGGCTCTGGTCTCACACATATCCCGACTGTCGGTGAGTATAAATCCAGCCGATCCCGTCAGTGACTCGACTTTGTCGATGTCACTGCGGAGAAGGAAACAAAACACCAACGTCCGAGAATGTTGCTNGCTTGTCTTCCCCCCGGGGTCGAAGAGGTTATCATTCATGACACACTAGGTGCCCTGTGGAGAATATGCCATTCTTTTGCACGATGATCACGGGAATATTTTGCAGCACGCTTTCCAGGAAATGGCTATCATAAGTTTCTTCATTTTTTCTCACTATCAGTTCGACCACACGCGAGAGAAGATGATGAATATTTATTTCTACCCGCGATTCACTCACTCCTATACTTGCAAATGATTCGACATAATTTAATGACACATCGAAGATTTTTTTCCTTTTCGGACTTTTCTTTTTGTGACGTTTGTCCATCGCGAAAGCAACATTAATCAGTGTTTCATTCGTTATTCATCGATTCTCTTGCAGATGTGATTTAAATTCGTCGAATAAAATATCCAACCCTCTCGTTGATATTTAATTTTTTCACCATGAAGGTGGCATTGATTAAAATATGAAGGGATAAGCTCGACTTATGCTAACATGAACTCACTAGTTTTTGTTTTTTCGTGTTATGTTTAAAAGTCAAGTTTATTTTGATCAATGGACTGTCCAAACGAAGTCAGTCTCGAATTTCTTATTTGTCTTGAGAATCAATTTCAAAAATTCATCCGGATTTGCGTGTTTGTATGAGTACGAGTGCATAAGGTGGAATTCACTTGTCGTTTGAAGGGATCCCGGAGCAGACTGAGTTTCAGGGGCTTTCTGCTGTCCAATTGCTTGTTTGCTAATGACATATTTTCGTTTGAAGATTTTAGCAGACCACATCAAGGCAATAATACTTGCTGTAGTAATTAATCCTTTTCAATTTTCTCCACCGCCTATTCTCAATCTATGAATGCAAGTTTAAATTTCTAAAATTCAGTAGATTTTGCGTGCAATCAAATTAATGATAGCCGTGATTGAAAGTAGGTGACAAGATTGAGGGTTTTTGTCCCGCTCCCGAAAAATCCATTTCCTCACATTATTCATGCAGTGATCGATTCGGTTGCTGAGCCCCGGAATTAATTTCCGTTTTTTGTGTGCAAAGATTGAAGGCCTCTGAGCACCATCACGAAAAAGAATCGATCTTATGGAAGCATATTGGAGACCCCTTCAAGAAGGAAATGATTTATGAGTGTGCATCACTCGTTGCGGGTATGAAGTACGGTGTGAAAGGTACCGCGACTTTGATTAATTCCTTCCAAGGCCCAGCGATATCCCTTATTATTCGACGCACAATCATGGACGACAGTGACGCAGGCTTCAAAGGGAAATTTCATCATGTTTTGGTTTCGTGGATGCTGATCAGTTTCCTCTTCCTGTTTACGAAATTGAACGAAATTGCCTACGTGTTTTCAATGAAAAAAATAACGATAATCAGGGAAGCCTCTTCCTAGCTGAGGTCTCTAACCATTAGCCATGTTGAATGCTTCCTTTGAGAAAGATGGGATTCATCATTTCACAGAATTGAAGGACGAATTCATCACTCGCGTTTTAAAATTTGGCGTCTACGAGCTTTTAATTTCAAATGATCAGTTGCTACAACTTAAAAAAAAATTTTTCAACCTACAAACATTTGTACGCATCCCGAATCCCGATGATGTTACAGAGAGAAATCGGTTCAACGCTACTACCTGAACTTCGAAAAAGCATATTTTAAATTTTCGGAAAATTGTGGCAGATAAATTTGTCAGCATCCGAAATTCGACAATTCATCCAACCATTCTGGAGATAATTTGCTTTTGGATCGGTCCGTTTTATTGTGGTTAGCTCTGGCGAATCACAACCCTTTTATTTTCCCAAGAAATCTTCTCGCATTCTTGGTTGTTCACCACTCAAATCTGTTTACGACATATTGCTTTTTTCTTTCAAATTTAAAATCATGATAGGAAAACATTATATTTGCTACTCTCTGCAGGTACACGGACATTTTAG